GAGCATCACCGCAGAGGAGCCAATCAGCTAGATGTTGCTGGGGCCGAGGAGCCAATCATCAGCCGGCAGCTGGAAGTTTGCTGGGGCCCCTTCGGCTGTGGCTCTCAACACAGCATTTTTTTCTTTTTCCAACATTTCAAGTTTTATCTTGTTATTTGTTACTTCTGCTTCATGTTTTAACTCTAGTTCTTTCCTAGATTCAGATGCCAGAACAATCTCAGCTTTTAAAGCTTCCACTATACTAAGGGACTTATGTGCTTCATTCAGTTGACTTTCTTGTTCAGCTATTATCATTCTAGCTCTCTGAATTTGGTCCCTTAAAAAGTTCAGTTCTTCAAAAAGGTCATCAAGTCGTCTCTGCAGAGTACATTTTTCTCCTGAAACTATTCCTAGTTCTTCTTGGAGTTTTTCCTTTTGAGCGTTAGTATCTTGTAATTTCATATTCAGTTCATTTATTGACACGTTCATTAACTTTATTTGATCTTCATTAATTGTAATATTTAAATGTGATTTTAAAACACTCTCAATTTCCTCCTTATGTTGTGCTTTAAGTTCCTCTATCTGTGACATGTGTTGCTTTATTAACTCTTGTTTCATCTGTACTATCTGTTGCCCATACATTTCATCCATCTCTGCTTGGAGTTGTTCTAATCTTTTCTGCATTTCTTGTTCCACCATTCTCTGTACATCAGATTCAAACTGGCTATCTGTGTAATGATGTCTTTTCTGAAGGTCTTCAACTGTACCCATAAACTGTTTTATTTCTTCAGAACATTGTTTTTCTTTTTGCTTAGAATTAGCCAGCTCTAATTTCATACTTGCAATTTGTTCTTGTAATTCTCTCATTAATTTTTCAGTGGCTGTGACTTGATCTTTTAGCTCAAGATTCTTTTTTTCTTCTATTATTCTTATATTTAACGCCTGGATGATTGTCTCCTTTTCCTGTAATTCTTTTTTATTTGACTTTTCTACTTCATCTTGTTCCTTTAAAAAGAAAAGAAAATGAAAAATATAAGAATGACATTTTTAGCTTCTGGCAACTTCTTATGGGTGTCTCCTTTTTATATAATTCTATAAAAAGCAACTGTTGGGCCTGCCCCCCATTTTTCCCAGTACAAGGAGACTAGGACTTATCTACCTGACAGTACATATGAGCAAACAATATAACAGTTTTACCCTTCTTGGAAAGAAATTTCTCTTACATTGTGCTGTGATTAAATATTTAAATTTAAAAATGCAATCTAATTTGCCTAGCATGTGTGAGGCCTTGGGTTTGATCTCTAGCACCACCAAAAAAGCAAAACAAAACAAAAACCAGTCTGACTAAAATATCTATATAAACTATCACATTTTCATTTTTCTTATTAACTGGTCAACATTCTAAATATTAAGCATTTCTGATGGCTAGTTATAATACTACATACTCTCTAGACACTCTCAGAAGACACAAAAATATAAAAACCGGTCCTCCCCTGGATTCACAGAAGAAAAAAATAAATAAATACCGGTCCTCCCCTGGATTCTAGTGATTTGAAGGTATTTCATGGACAAGTGCTATAAAATGAGAAAAACAACAAGAACTAAAGTGGATTCCTTTAAGTCTTCCTTAACTTCATTCCTGGGGTTTTAAGTGAATCAGAAATTTAGGGATATGCAATGCTTAAGTGACTGAACATCAAGTGACACCTAAGACCACTACTGTATATTTACGGCATACCAACTTGGGCTTAGACCCACAGTTCAAACAGAAATATAAAAGACCATCAGATAATTTTCCCCAGTTCCTATCTGGAGACTCAATTTTGGAACTGGAGATTAGGCTAAGACAAGACATATTAACGCATATTCATTAAACAGTTAAGAGCTGTTGTCCCAAAGCCAAGGAAATAAGTGAAATCCATATAACTGATGAAAATATAGGTAAGGAAGTAAAGTTATCTTAAGGAGACACGAGTCCTTGCCAAACAGGACTTCTAGGCGCCTTGAATGAATGTACTAAGAAAATGTAGGCATTGATCAATTGAGTATAGTTCTTGGAAGAAGACCAACGCACCGTCAACCTTTGAGAAGTCTGATCCCTCTCGAAAAACCATACTTCATGCAGAAAACAATGTTGGGAGTTACAGCGAGGAGCATTTAAGAAGTTTAGTCTACAGACATGAACATTACTACTCTGAGATGGATGTAACAGGTTATCTCAACCTCATGCCACTGAACATCTGATTCCTCCAACACCCTTTTCATCTAATACTTAATAAACAATTTTTTAAATTATTACCTGGCTTTTAAAATTCATCTGTCCATAGAAAGAAAATAAAATCCAATGAGCTTAAAATCTGAAATTTGTGATAATTATTTCTTATTGTAAATTCACAGTCTTATATTTAGACTTAAACATTAACCTCTTGAACTAATTCACCTCTGATATAGCTCAAGAAAAAAAATATGACTTCTGAGCCCAACAAATAAAGGCCAAATTTTGCACTACATAAACCAAGGTTATCTTGTGCAGCCTCTTGAGTGAGACTATGAGCTGTTGTCCTAGTGTCACATATTCCTTTTCCAATTACATCATATGTTATTACCAAGTGCCGAGCCTTCTTAATTTCTACACTAGAATGCAACAATAGTAAATTAGTTTAATATGTTAATCCTGGTATTTCTGTCTGTACAATAAAGATAAATTTTCTCTATCTCCCAGAACGTGTTTGAGGCTAAAATAAAATAATTAAGGTATTTTATTTTTACTGAGCTTTATATAAATATATTCATATACTAGAAAGAAATTTATAAATCATTTGGAACCTATATAAAATGTAAAATCAGGACTGGGGCTGGGTCCCAGAGGGAGAGTGTTTGCCTCACGAGACGAATGAGGCACTGGGTTCAATTCTCAGCACCACATAAAAATAAATGAATCCATAAAGATATCGTGTCCATCTACAACTAAAAAAATTTTTAAAAAAGTAAAATCAGTTCATGATGGTCAATTTTAGCTAAACTGTTAAATAACAACTAGTTTTGAAAAATGTTAACATTGATATAAAAATCTGTTATAATTTTATTTCCTGATTTTCTATAAGATGAAAGGAACACTCCTCATAAAAGAAAATAACTTAATTCAACACTGTCCAACACCTAATATGATTAATAAATAACTAACCATAATTCTTCATTCAACTATTAAACACCACAAATTCACAGTTTTCTTTGTTTAGCTTTTTTCAAATTACATGGTTTTAAATCACTTGTTCTATGTTACAAAACTGACAGCCTTTCAGACAAGGATATAATCCTCTATTTTTAGAACTACACCTGAAAGAGTGGGGAATAATATACTTCCTGTTTGTGACTACTATAACACAGGAGGTTTGGAGGATTAGGATAATGAGCCTTTGACTATCAGTATAGTTACTTCAGCTGCTCTGAAAGAACTACTTCTCAAAGGGATTAAATTTTTTGAAAACTGAGAAATTAAAATATAATAAGAACAACAATAAAAGTATTATTGCTAACATTCAAATAAACAGTTTATTTTCATTACTAAAATGAATTACATAAATTTTAGATAATCTGAAATTATACTGCCTAGTGACAATAAGAAATAATAAAATCCTAGATCCGGGCACTTTCAACCTAGGCCTCGATTGTCTTTCTACTCTTACTCTCCAGAAAGACACTTCCAAAGCCTATTGCTTTCTAAGTAAATTATTTTTGGCTCCCTATACATTTTCAACATTTCAGCCTGGGTCTTTATGCCCACTCCACACCCCACAAAGAATATCCTGCCTATCTCTATTTGTCATGAATTCATAAACAATTCTCTTGATTACCAAATAGGTATTGAATAGCTGAGCTGTTCCATATATTATGTTCCATATATTATACCAATTTATGGGTAAACAAAATATAAATAACACATTATTCCAATTTATAGATCTAACTCAAATATTACCTCTCTGCTGATGTCTACCCTGAATCTTTTCCTCATAAAGCAGACCTCGTCAAAACATTCATAACACTTGTTACCTGCACTTACTTTTTATTTTGTGGTAACTTGTGTACATGCCACACCTCTCCATGGGTTCAGTGAAGAAAGGGGACATGTTACGGTTCATCATATATCTTTTGCAAGGGTTACTACAGAATAGGTATTCTGTAAACACTTGCATAATCTTTAAATTACCTTAGTTGAAAAGCATGCCCTTCTCATAATTTTAATTTGTACATTTCCTATTTTTCAAAGAGGAGTCTCTGGAGTCAGATAACTGAGCTTTGAAATCTGGCTCTATCAATACATCACTTCTGCACTTGGATTATTTCCTTCATCTTGAGTTTTCTTGGTACCATCATTTGTAAAATGTAAATGATAAAGGTACCCTTATCTCATAGGGTAGTAGTGATGATTCAATGCATTAATATGTGTAAGAGGCTTTGAATTCTGCCTGTTGTAGAGTAAGTACTTAATAAGTGCTAGTAAGGCTAAGACAGGCGGATTACAAGTTCAAAGGCAGCCTCAGCAACTCGGCAAGACTCTGTCTCTAAATAAAATATAGATGTGGCTGGGGGTGTGGCTCAGTGGTTAAAGTGCCCCTGGGTTCAATTCCCAGTCCCCCCCCCAAAAAAAAAAAAAAAAAAGTCCAGAATCACTTTATTTCTCTTCAGAAGCAATTGAGGGACTGGGAGTGTGACTTACTGGTAGAACGCTTGACTAGCATACATGAAGTGTTAGGTTCGATCCTCAGTACTGCCAAAAAAGAAAAAAATAAGCTGGGTGCAGTGGCACACACCTTGTAATCTAGAGACTTGGGAGGCTCAGGCAGGAGGATTACAAATTTGAGCCCATTCTGAGCAATTTAGTGAGATCATGTCTCAAAATATGAAAAGAGCTGGGGGTATAGCTTGATGGTAGAGGACTTGCCTGGCATGTGGTAGGCTCTGATTTCAATTCCCAGTAATAGGAAAAAAAGAAAAAGAAAAGATCAAGTTTTACTGATGGGTAATGGGTTGAACCTATGCACATATGTGTGTGCATACACTGGCCAAAATCAGGTCATGTATATTTTTATAAAAAGTTTTATCCAGATTATTTAAAAGCCAAATCAGATAGTACCATCGTAGGAGCACTATTTGAGCTTTTAGATGTTGATTATTTTCTTTCTTGTGTTCTTTTGACTCAGATATGGCCAGTTTTATCCGAGACTCTAAATAAACACCGGGCTGATAATCGGATTGTAGAGCGTTGTTGCAGGTGCCTTCGCTTTGCTGTTCGCTGTGTAGGCAAAGGTTCTGCAGCCCTGCTGCAACCACTAGTCACACAGGTAAGTTCTCCACAAAAGCAGAATGTTAAATGCACAGAATTTGAAATAAGACCCTTTAGATCAAAAAGTTTTACTGCCAAAATGCTCTCAATTTATTAAGTGCAAACTGAAAAATATTTCAAAGAAATAAGTGCCTGTGGTAGATATGTTGTCTATAAGGAAAACAACTTGTAATCTCTTTTGTATAATTGTAGTCTGACTACATTCCAGTGTGAAATTATGTGAAGAGAATGAGTCATGCTCAGCCCTTATATACCAAAGCTAAGCACTTACAGATTAATTTCCTTGGGGAAAAACTGTAGCAAGTCAAACTTCACTATTTCTTGGTCCAAAGATATTTTATAGACCACAATTTGTTGTTCACATATATCTCTTATTTGTTAAAAATGAATTTTATTTATTTTTATCCTTAAAGTCAATATGATAGCAAGATTTTCTGTATGAAGCACTCACATCTAGAACTACAATATATGAGATGCCTCAGCTTACATCACTAAGTAATTTGTATTTATGTTAACCTCAAAGCAGGGCCATAAACTTTGCCAGTGTACCCACATTTTAAGTATTATCTATTGACTTTGATTGTGTGTGTGCTACATGGGTAAGTTGTTAGAAGACTGAACAGCCTGTTAAGGCCTATACTTTTTACTGTGTGGCCCTTCAAAATAAAAGTTGGCCAACCCCTGATTTCAGTCATTCATTAATAGTACATATAGTTTTGAGTCTGTAACACTGAATAGATTCATAGCTCTCATCTTATGCTTGCTCATTCCATGGCATATGCTGGTAGAAGAATTACCAAATCCTTCAGCCCCCACCAAGCTCATAGTTGAATTTATATACTAAGATCAAATGGCATTTTAAATGGGTGAATGTGTCTCGAGTAAAAACAAATATTTTAAATGTATATATTGTACTAAGGTTTTATTTTATTTATTTTTTAGTTGTAGATGGACACAATGCCTTTATTTTGTTTGTTTATTTTTATGTGGTGCTGAGGATCGAACCCAGTGCCTCACACTAGAGGCATTTGCTAGGCAAATGCTCTCTACAACTGAGCCACAACCCCCTGTACTAAGATTTTATTTTGTTGAAATTGAAATATCTTGATTGGAAATAAGTTTTTTACTTAAAAAGTAAAATAGATGAGTTTAAGATCAACTCAAAATCTTAAACAGTTTTTGCATCTTAAGCATGTAGCTTAGTGGTAAAGTGCCCCTGGATTCAGTCCCCAAAATAAACATAAAGAGTTCTTTCACTGTCTTCTCTAAGATAAGGACATTTGATATTTTTGTTGCTATTGTGGTTTTATATATGGTCTTAAAAAAATAAGACTTGTTGATATTGCAAATAAAATTTGAGCACATACTGTTATAGTTTTACAAATATTACGTGAGTTCCCTCATGGCTTCCAGTTTGAAATATTGATAATTCTCTTACAACATTGTTTTAGCAAAATAAAAGATCAAAGGCTTGAAAGAACTCTAGAGAACTTGAAAATTATGGAGAAATTGAGGCCTGGGTTTACTATATTGCCTTAAAGAGACCAATCTGTCTCTCAGTTGCTTCCTGGAAAATAGCTACCTAAGTTGATACTTTTTGAAGGGTAAAGATTTTAATTAATTTTTTTTTTTTTACTTTTTTTTTTTCCTAATTAATCCTGGGGGTTGACAGTACTCTGTGCTACTGAGCTATAATCCTCAGCCCTTTTAAATTTTTTATTTTGAGACAAGGTCTTCCTAAGTTGCCAAGGATAGCCTCAAACTTGGTATTTTCCTGCCTCAGTCTCTTGTAAGTGAGATTACAGGTGTGCCCCGCCACCCTTTGCAAAACTGATGAATTTTTTTCCCTTGGCAGATGGTGAATGTATACCATGTACATCAGCATTCCTGTTTCCTGTACCTTGGCAGTATCCTTGTTGATGAGTATGGCATGGAAGAAGGCTGTCGGCAGGGACTTCTAGACATGCTCCAGGTATGTGTTTCCTTGGCACAGCAGATGCATCAGGCCTAGAGGACCTAAAAGCCAAGCATTGTATTCTTCACTATGTCTTTATTTCTTTGCTTTATGTTTTCCCCTCTATGCATGTTGATTTCCTCATAACAGGAATGTAGAAACTTGCTCTTTGTTTTCTGTACAGATGAGATTGGCAGAAAGAAAGAGCAAGCGAGCGAACTTGGCTACATGAGTATAATAATCATTATAAATAGTATTGCATGATTTATGTTTTCCTGTGATAGAGTGGAATGTTTTTCAGGGGAGTGGGAGAGCATAGGCTTTCCAAACTCAAACATAATTGTATATTTAATTTCTTGCCTGGAATAGCCAATTAACTAGTTTATTTTGCAACAGAGAGAGTTTTGGAGTTCATAGCAGGTGTTGGAAAATGCCTCTAATATACTACTTTTTCCTCCTTTCTAGTCACCTGGGAGCAATAGATAAGGGAATTAAAGTGTGCTACTCCTTTTCCCAAGATATTATTTCACGTAAAATTGACATTTCAGGGTTGTTATGCAAACTTCATCTACTCCCTAGATCACATTTATAAATAGTGTCTTTGCTTTCAGAAACTTAGATGATATTTTTCTGGTTTTATGAACTGAAATCTATACCTTTTACCTCTTCTGAAATGTAGATTTCATGTGTGGAAACAGTTTCAATCAGAAAATTTTTTTCTCTTGCTTTTACTGATTCATATCCCATCTACCCCACCCCACCTCTTTTTCTCTCTTCTCTTTTTTTCCCCCTTAGTATTGGGGATTGAAATTAGTACAGGGGCTTTACCACTAAACTACATGGCCACAGAGCCTTGCCAAATGCTGAGGCTGGCCTTGAACTTGTAATCCTCCTGCCTCGGTCTTCCAAGTCACTGGGATTATAGGCGTGCTTCATAATACCTGGCTTCCCTGATCTGATTCTCATCACAATCTTTTCTTTTCTCACCTGTGCTGCCCTTTTTTATTCCCTTTGTATTTGTTGTTGATATTTGGCAAGTCTGAATGCTGTAGCTTTGTAAGTATTTCTTTTAAAATCACTGTTCTAATCTAGGCACTGTGCATCCCTACCTTTCAACTCCTGGAACAGCAGAATGGTCTCCAGAACCACCCTGACACTGTAGATGACCTGTTCAGGCTAGCTACCAGGCAAGTCCTTCTGAAAAACAAACTAAACTTTTTTTTTTTTTTTTTTTTTAATTAATTGCTCATCCCCATCTCTGCTTAATCTTGCCATCTGACACCTGGTTATTTCCTTCTCTATAAAAATGAGATCATTGGAGAACAGAGATTAATGATTCATAACCCAAAGGTAAATTGTGAACTGGTATATCCCTAGAGGTTAACGAGGATATACTGGGTGAGAGCAGGCAGAAAAATATCTGAGTTCCTACCATGAAGAAGAGAACATGCACAAAGCACAAATGTGCTTGGTATGGGTTGTGTGGTATAGCTCAGTGGAGGCCCCTAGTTTCAATTCCTAGCATCCGAAAAAAAAAAGTGCCTGGTATGAACATTTGACTAGATAATCTCTACAACCCTCATAGTGTTTATGCCGCTGTGATTATTTCATGCTTCATCCCAGCTTTTTCCTTGAGAAGGTTAACATCCTTCAGATTTAATCATATCTCAGAACAAAGAATTCCTAGGATTTTAAAATGCCTTAGAAGTTACTAGTCCAGCTCTACCCTCACCAGGCTGCTATCACTCCTATCCATTAAATTTCTTTTACCAATAGCACCGACAACATTGTTGCTGACCTTCTGCTTGAATTCCTTCTTGGTCCTTTGTTAAGGAATTTGAACCAAGTCAGTGAACAAATTTAAATACATTTTTTAAGAAAACTTTGAGATGCTCGGGATTGAACCTAAGGATTCATACATATTAAGCATGCACTCTACCACTCAGCCCCACTATTTAAATTATTGTACCAGTGAAAATTTGAAGTCTTATTGACTTGACTATTTCATCTTAGAATTGAATATAGAATACTGCTTTTGTTGGTTTTTGGACAGGTTTAAAAAACAAAACAAAACCTTATTTGTGAATTGATAAAAGAATTATTGGACAGGCAGTCAAGCTCTGTTTTACCAGGATATCTTTCTTGGAAAACTCTTTGCATGTGGTGAAGTAAATTCAGAACATACTGTATTCTTTAAAAAAAATTCTTCCTGTACAATAAAGAATCTGAAAGAACAGGAGATGAGGAAATATAGCTAAGTGGTAGAATGCTTGCCTAGCATGCGTGAGGCCCTGGGTTCAATCCCTAGCATGGTCCAAAAAAAAAAAAAAATATATATATATATATATATATATATATATATATATATGTATGTATGTATGTATTTCTACTTGATACTTCTCATCTTCCATAATCTGGATGGTGGTTGCACACATGTAATACTTGGGAGACTTGGGTAGGGGAATCTCAAGTTTAAGATCAACCTGGGAAATTTAGTGAGACCACCGTCTCACAAACAATTGGTAAAATCTTGTGGTAATTTAAAACAAACAAACAAAAAAACCCCCAAACTCAAGCAAAACTACTTTAAAAATTCAGCATTTTCCAACCAAATTGAACACACAACTTGTTTTTGAGGAATTCTTATTGACATCCTGGAAACTGGTGTTCTATAGAATATAGTTTGGGAAATGCTATTCTAATGTGTTGAGGCTCTTTTGTACTGATCTTTGAAGCTACTTCAAAGTCTTAATTGGAAATTGAGTTTGGCAACATGTCTTTTCATATGCTAATCTAAAATATGGCCCCTTTCTTGCCTTTTTGTTTCCAATAAATATTTTTTAAAGAGCAGTTTTAGGTTCACAGCAAAACTGAGTAAACTAAGTATAGAATTCCCATATTCCTCCAGTTTCTCTGTCCCAAACAAGCAAACATAGCCTCCTCTATTAGCATTCCCCTCTAGAGTGGGCCATTTGTTATAATCAGTGAACCTGCATTCACACATCATTGCCCAAAGTTCATAGTTTACATTAGGGTTTACTTTTGGTGTACCCATTTTGTGAGTTTTAAAAAAACTATCCACCATTATAGCATTTTCACTGCCTAAAAATCTTCTGTGCTGTATTTATTCCTTCCTCCCTACAATTATAGCAACAGTTGATCTTTTTGGTATCTTCATGTTTTTTTATCCTTTACCCTGCTTGCTTTTTTGTAGCCTAATCTCACCATTTATTATATCCAGCCTCTCTTTCCATAACAGGTTTATTCAGCGTAGCCCTGTCACCTTACTGAGGAGCCAAGTAGTCATCCCAATCTTACAGTGGGCCATTGCCTCTACTACCCTGGATCACCGGGATGCCAACTGTAGTGTCATGAGGTTCCTACGAGACCTCATCCATACAGGGGTAGCCAATGATGTAAGTATAAACATTGTACCTTTCCTACTTAACAGATTATCATCTCTTCCTCACTTTTTAGGGGAAAACCAGTATGCTAGTAGGTCCATATTTGATCTGTATTACCAGTCATATATCATAGTTGATCATTCACCCCCTGGATTATTAACTCCAGATCTAAGGCAGCTGTGCTAAGTGCCTTAGGCATCTTGTAGACAAAGCAGTCTAAAACTGTCCCTGTTTCCAAAATATTTGGTGTCTAGTTGAAGAGATAAATAGACATAGAGATGAGTGATAAAAGTCATGATTGCTATGAGTCAGAATAGGGAAGGTTCTGGACAGAAATTAGTTGGGGTAACTGTCTTAAAAAGAAGAAACTTAAAGCCATAAGATAGAGATAGAGCTTTGATGGATTAGAGAGGAGGATAGTCTAATTGGTATATAAACTGTGATCAGGAAAAGTCAGAATAGCATGAAGTATGCTAGTAGACAATGAATAAACCTGTTTGGCTATGTAGTGAAGTGGTTCACAAGATTTTCAAAGGTAAATTTGTCTAGATGTTGAGTAGGATTGAAAGTAAAGAAGAAATATGTGAATGAACTAATAAGTAAAAAGTAATCAAGGTTTATTTTAAAAGGAAATAAGCAAGGAACAAGACAGGGAGGTGAACATGGGAGATGAAAACAAGGACATGAGTTACTTTTCACGGGGGAAAAATGCTAATCTTAATTCTTAACCATTGTTTCTCTTCTGCCTTCTAATCCTGAAAAATCAAATCATTAATATTAATCTCATCAGATACCTATGATTCCATTTCCCTCATATTAAACTCATATTTTCTTCCTAATGACAAAATATTTAATGGTCATTATGAATTCAGCTGTCACATAATGTACTTTTTTCCATGGTAAAGAGTACTTACTAGACTAATGGAGAGTGAGTTCTTGTTCTTTGGAAAGTGGAAACTAGAACCACAGTCATCTGACACTCCTGCTTTGTTACAGCATGAAGAAGACTTTGAATTACGAAAAGAACTAATTGGACAGGTGATGAACCAGCTTGGACAACAGCTTGTAAGCCAGCTGCTCCATACATGTTGCTTTTGTCTCCCCCCCTATACCTTACCAGATGTGGCTGAAGTGCTCTGGGAGATCATGCAGGTTGACAGACCGGTAAGATTCTTTCATAAGCAACCTATTCTCCTAATTCTTAAACTTAATAGACTTTGGTTCCTTGAAGCCTACCATAACTTCGAAACAAGCCCTTTTGCATATGTCCCTTAGAACCAAATTTAGGCATATTGCTAAGTTTAATTGGTAGTTGAAAGGGCCCAGAGAAGAAAAATAACTTATTATCATATTTATGTCTAAATAAACCTCTCATGAGGTTTGTACTGTGTATTACCAGAAGTAAGTACAAAGCATTGAAAGCATATGTGACTAGCCAGTAAGAAATTTTTTCCCTCATAAGAGATCCCATGTATCAGTTATAGTGAGTTGCAGATTATTCCAATATTCAATCACTTTGGGGAATTGTATTATTTCTTACTGATGTATCTAGCCAGAGCATTATACAGTTATGTCCAAGTAGTTTGAGTACTGACCACAGGATAATATTTTTAATATTGATAAAAAAGCTCTTTAGGAAAGTACACAGTTGACCTAAGTGAACTGTCCCTTTACTTATTTTGTATACATTTTGTTCCTACTCTTCCTTATATCTGAAATTTATTTTGAATTTTTTTCTATATAGGCTCTGGAGTTTTGTGACATCTGTTCATTTTTTAAATATTGTGTAAGTTTAATGACAGAAACAGAATAATGGCTTATATAGAAAAGGCTTCACTTCCAAAGTGTAGAAGGACTTCATCTGAAATCATGCCTGCTCCCCCTCTGAAGGGAAGTCTAGGCTTGCATTTGCAGACTATATCAACCCAGAGCATTTGAGGGCATAAAGATAGTGCTTTGTTAATTCCTTTACTTGTTTCAAGTCTAGGGGGAAAATGCTAAGAAAAACCTGTGGGGTTTTGCCTATACCTATAAAGTCTCAGACATGTAAACCCTGTCTCCTTTTAAGATTCTTATCCTTTTTCCTTATACAGACCTTTTGTCGATGGTTAGAGAATTCTTTGAAAGGTTTGCCAAAGGAGACAACTGTGGGAGCTGTTACAGTGACACACAAACAACTTACAGACTTCCACAAGCAAGTCACTAGGTGAGTGACGCCAGAGGCTTGTGAAACAAGTGTGAATAGCATCTGGGGTATGTGGATAAAACATCTATGTTTCTTCTGTGCTATTGTAAATTCACAATTTAGTTTCTTTTAGTCTGAGACTGCACAAGTTGGCATTAAAAACCAATCTGGGGGGAATATCACCATACTATATATTTCTATATCACTTACATCATACATATCAACTAAACTGGTTTAAGAATAAGAGGAGGCACTACCTCTCCCAAAAGAAAAATGCAATCAGGAGATCAGTGTTTACCTTTCTGAGTCCCTTTTAGTCCATGTTCAGGGATCAAGAATGCTGTTGGATGGGCACAGTGGTGTACCCCCTGTAATCCCAGCGGCTCTGGAGGCTGAGGCAAGAGGATCTTGAGTTCAAAGGCAGCCTCAGCAAAATCGAGGAGCTAAGCAACGTAGTAAGAACCTGTCTCTAAATAAAATACAAAACGGGGCTGGGGATGTAGCTTAGTGGTCAAGTGCCCTGATTTCGATCCCTGCTACCTCCCCCTCACCACCCCCAAAAAAGAACACTGATTCTGAGTTGGTGATGTAGCGTAGTGGTATAGTGCTTGCCTAGCATGCCTAAAGCACTGGGTTCAATTGTATGTTTTTTTAAAAAAAATGCAGATTCCTGAATAGGTGAAGCATTGGTTATAAAGTATTAAAGGGTAATGTAGACTGCAGTGAATGAGAATTTTCCCCATGCCTAAAGATATTCAAATTCTAATTTCACAGTTGTATACATAAAACATCTCTCTGGGATGTTGTTTAGGACCCTGAGCCAGCTACTTGATCACAATTTCTGGATTATAGCTTAGTTAAAGTTTTTGTGTGTGTATTTTGATTGTGAATAGTAAACCTATTTAATGGTCTTCCTAATTACCATCTTATATCCATAAAGGTGTTACTTGATTTCCTTTTAATTTTTTTATTAATGGGTAGTTAGATTATTTTTATTTATTTATTTTTTGGTGTTAGAGATAATAACAGAACTGTATCTAGACGTGATTTGTAATACCTCTCATCCCAGCTACTCAGGAGGCTTGAAGCAGGAGGATTGCAAGTTTGAGGCTAGCTTGGGCAACTTAATGAGACCCTGTCTCAAAAAAAAAAAAAAAAGAAAGAAAGAAAGAAAAAGAAAGTAGGGAAGTAGCTCAGTGTCAGGTTCTTCTGGGTTCAATCCCCAGTGCCATTTAAAAACAAATTAAAAAATATATAAAAATGGTTAAGATGATAAATTTTAAGTTATATATATTTTATAAAGATTGTTTAAAAGATGTAGAATATTCGAAGATGTAGCATTTTTCTTCCTTTGAATATTTGTCTTAAAATATAATCACTGAGTCAAAATCTATAAGACTTGTATGGTCTTCAATAATATTAATGGCAGCAATTTAAATTGGATTTTATAACTGTCTTATCTTGCCCTGATACTTCTTTTTGCAAGAACAGTCTTTAGAATTTTTAATAAATTTCAGGCAATGGCTTAAACAAGTATGGAAAGATAAGGTCAGAGAATAAGTGTTGAAGTGAGATTGGCAATTGTGAAAAAAAAAATTGGAAATATTTTAATTGCCATGTTTAATAATTAATGGTATGACTGTACTAGTAAATAGTCACTAAAAAAGAAAAAGATGCACTGCCGCAGTCCGGCTGCAGCAAAATAACTGGGGGGTGACGAACAACTTGTGTACGTTGATACAGCAGGAATAGGAGCCGTTTATTGCAGGACAGGAGCAGTATTTATACATTCCACACAGCTTATCTAATTAGCATAAACTAGATACATCAGTCAACCAATAAGGAATCTCCACACTTAATGGCTCGCTTTTGTTACTTCTCAAACCACTCCCTCTGGCATTTTGCCAGGCACCATCCAGACTTGTTTACGAACTCTAACATTCCCCTGGCAAAATGCCAGGTGTTATTTTGACTTGTTTACAGACTCCAACAATGCACATGTTCTGGTACAAAAAATATACAAAACATTTTGTAAAGGAAGCTAATGGTATCACATAACCCAATTTGAACTTTTGAAACAATTTTTATAATAAAATATATAACTTAAAATTTATCATCTTAACCATTTTTACATATTTTTAATTTGTTCTGATTAATTATACATGACAGAATGCATTTGGCACATCATACATAAGTGGAGTATAACTTCTCATTCATCTGGTTGTATGTTATATAGAGTTACACAGGTCACATAATCATATATGCTCATGGAGTAATAATGGCTGATTCATTCTACTATCATTCCTCTCCCAAAATCCCCTCACCCCCTTCACTCCCTTTGTCTAGTTCAAAATACCTCTGTCCCCTCCCCTATTGTGAATTAACATCCACGTATCAGAGAAAACATTCGGCCTTTAGTTCTTTGGATTGACTTATTACACTTAGCATATTATTCTCCACATCCTTGTATTTACTGGCAAATGCCATAATTTCATTCTTCTTTGAGACTGAGCAATATTTCATTGGGAATATCTATCACAATTTCTTTATCCATTCATCTGTTGAAGGGCACCTAGGTTGGTTCCATAATTTAGATATTGTGAATTAAGCTGTATCACTGTAGTATGCTGATTTTAAGTCCTTTGGATATAGACCGAGGAGTGTGATAACTGGATCAAATGGTGATTTCTTTCCAAGTTTTCTTAGGAAATTTCCATACTGCTTTCTATAGTGATTGCACCAATTTGCAGTCACACTAGCAATGTCTGAGTGTACCTTTTCCCTTTCCCTCCACATCCTTGCCAACATTTTTTGTTTCTTGTATTCTTGATGATTGTCATTCTGACTGGGGTGAATTGGAATCTCAGTTTTGATTTGCATTTCTCAAATTACTAAAAATGTTGAACATTTTTTCATATATTTGTTGGTTGATTGTATTTCTTCTTCCTGCAAAGTGTCGGTTCAGTTCCTTAGCCCATTGATTGGGTTGTTTGTTGTTTTTGGTGTTGAGTTTTTTGAGTTCTTATGGAAATTAATGCTCTATCTGAGGTGCATGTGGTAAAGATTTTTTTCCCATTTTGTAGGCTCTCCACATTATTGATTGTTTCCTTTGCTGAGAAGAAACTTTTTAGTTTGAGTCCATCCCATTTATTGATTTTTGATTTTACTTCTTGCACTTTAGGAGTCTTGTTAAGTTGACTTCCTAAGTCAGTTCCTAAGCTGACATGGTGAAGACTTGAGCCTACTTTTTCTTCCATTAGGCCCAGGGTCTCTGTTCTAGTGCCTGTCTTTGGTCCACTTTGAGTTGATTTTTGTGCAGGGTGAGAGATAGACGTTTAATTTCATTTTGTTACATATGAATTTCCAGTTTTCTCAGCACCATTTGTTGAAGAATCTGTCTTTTTTCTGATGTATTTTTTTTTTTTTTTTTGGTGACTTTGTCTACTATGAGATAACTGTATTTATGTGGGTTTGTCTCTGTGTCTTCTATTCTCATTGGTCTACATGTCTGTTTTGATGCCAACACCATGCTGTTTTTGTTACTATGGCTCTGTAGTATAATTTAAGGTTTGGTATTGTGGTGCCTCCTGTTTCATTTTTCTTGCTAAAGATTGCTTTGGCTATTCTGGGTCTCTTATTTTTTGTAAATGAATTTTATGATTGCTTTTTCTGTTTCTATGAAGAATATCATTGGGATTTTTTTTATTTTTTTTTTTGTACCAGGGATTGAACTCAGCGGCTCTCAGCCACTGATCCACTGAGCCACATCCTCAGCCCTATTTTGTATTTTATTTAGAGACAGAGTCTCACTGAGTTGCTTAGTGCCTCACTTTTTCTGAGGCTGGCATTGAACTTGAGATCCTTCTGCTTCAGCGTAATCTAAGAGCATGAGAAATCTTCTGAGGTCTTCCTCAATTTCTTTCTTTAGTGTTCTATAGTTTTCATTGTAGAGGTCTTTCACTTCTTTTGTTAGATTGATAACCCAATTTTTTGTGTGTGTGTGGCTATTGTGAATGGGGCAGTTTTCCTAATTCTCTTTCAGTGAATTCCTCACTCATGTGTAGGAATGCATTTGAGTGCTTAGCCATGTTTATTATTTTTTTAATATGTATTTTTTAGTTGTAGATGGACACAATATCTTTATTTTATTTTTATGTGGTGCTGAGGATCGAACCCAGTGCCTCACGTGTGCCAGGTGAGTGCTCTACCACTGAGCCCAAGCCCTGCTTAACCATTTTTAAATGTGCAGCTCAGTATGTTCATATTTCCGTATGTGATGGCACACACTTGTAATTCCAGCAACTTAGAAAGAGGCTTAGCAAGAGGCTCACAAGTTGGAGGCCAGCCTGGGAAATTTAGTGAGATTCTGTCTCAAAAAACAAGAAGGACTGGGGATGTAGCTCAGTGATAAAGTGCCCCTAGGTTTAATCCCCAATAGCTCTCACCCAAAAAAGAAATAGGTTGCAAAACAATCTAAACATATCTCCAATATTTTTTTATCTTATAAAATGGAAACTGTGCCCACTAAGTAACAATTCCCTTTTCTCTGCTTCCCCCAATTCCTAGCAGCCATCAGCCTATTTGATGTTTCTTTGAGTTTGACTACCTCATGTGGCTTATTTTTTATGTCCTTAGAGGTCAGCCATGTTATATGTACCAGAATTTCCTTCCTTTTTTTAAGGCTAAATAATATTTTTATATGCATGTGTTTTATAATTCTATTCTTCTGTAGGACACATTTATGTTGTTTCCAGCCTCTTAGCTTTTGTGAATAATCCTGCCATAAACAAATGTAGAAATGTCTTTGAGATTTTGCTTTTATTTCTTTTGGATTTATGCACACAAGTGAAGTTGCTGTGTCCGATGGTGAATTTATTTTTAATTTTTTGAGGACCCATCATATACTGTTTCCTAACAGCTGCACCATTATTATTTCTCACCAGCATTGCTTTTACCTTCTCCACATCCTTGTCAATGTTTGTTATTTTGTTTGTTTAATGGCAGCCACCTTGGCATCTCTC